CCTGGATTTTTTTTTTGCATTTATAATGTTTGCTTTTTTATGAGTTTGGAGAAGAGGTACAGAATATCTGGCATATTTCTGGAATTAAAATTAAATCTCAAATCTATCTTACCTGGGTAAATAAACTGATATTTTCTGCCATCATACATTTTTAAAATATTAGTGGAATTTAAATTTTAGGGGAATTATATTATTTTTCAAATTTTTAAAATGAGATAGTCTGATAAAAGACTTAATTTGACAATTTTTTTAAAGTATCCCAGGATTACCAAACTTTAAAGGATTCTTCTAATGTGTTGTCATTCATTCTTGTTATAGTTGAGGGAAAACTTGAGTTGTGAAGTACTGCTGGGCTAGTACAGTGAAAATCTTGATGTGTTTATGTAACATATATGTTACATCCTTAAAACTATAGGAATAGATTCATTAAAATTAATTACTCATAAAACAAATACTGCTGTCTTTAAAACTCTAGGTGAAGAGAGGTTTGTATAGTAATGGTCATCGATATCAACCATTTACTGAATGGCTGAGATTGACGTTGAGTGAAGCCACACTGTTGAAGTGAGCTCATCTGCATCTACCTTAATGACATTTCAGTGTTGCTCTTGTAGTAGTGTCATCTTCTTTTTTAAGATTTTATTTATTTTAGAGAGAGGGGAAAGGAGGGAGAGAAGGAGAGAAGCATCAATGTGCGGTTGCCTCTGAGGCACCCCTTACTGGGGACATTGCCCACATCCCAGGCATGTGCCCTGACTGGGAATTGAACCAGTGACCCTGTGGTCCAAAGGTCAGCACTCAGTCCACTGAGCCACACCTGCCAGGGCAGTGGTGTCATATTTTAAATTCACAAACTTACATCTACAGCTTTCATTAGATTCTTAAAGGTATAAAAACACCGTTCCAAAGCAGAATCAGCCATTCCATTATGTAAACCTATAGACTGAGGTTATCTGGCAATACTAGTGTTGGCTGCATGTGGAATAACTGGAATTCTCATATGCAGCTGGTGGAAGTATAAACGGGTAAGAGCGATCAAAGGTGAACATATGCATACCTTATGATCCAGCAGTTTTGTTTCTGTTCATGTGTACGTGTATACTGGAAAACATATACAAGAATCTGCATAGCATTACTTGCAGAAGCCCAAAACTAGAAACAATTCAAAGGTCTATCAGCAATAGAATAGATTTTGCTGGTCATATATTTATATAGTCGAATACTATATAGCCATAAAAACCAACTCTCAGCTGCTACAGACGACAACACAGATTAATTTCAAAATAGTGGTAAAAAATACATTTATATGAAGTTCAAAAGCAAGTAAAATTAATTGATGCAAAAGATGGTGGCTACCTTTTGAGGTAAAACATGACAAAGACCTTTTGAGTGCCTCTCTTAGCCTGGGCGCAGTTCATATTGTGAAAATTCATTGAGCTCTCCCATTGTGATTTGTACACTTTTCTGTTGAATGTTAAACTTCAATTTTAAAATGTTTTTAAAGGTGCAGGCACTAGTTGCTATCCATTTGGAAAATAGATTAGAAAACATTATTTGCAAAACAAGTAGATAGAGCTGATCTCTGTGATGGTAGAAAGAGCTTCTAGACAGTGATAAGGGAAAGACAAACGGCCAGAGAGGAAAAAAGTCTGAGAATGTAAATACACAGTTCAGAGAACTGAGAGTCAAAATGGCCAAAAGCCTGTGAAAACATGCTCAAGCCCAGTGGTCATCTGGACTGAAAATAACGATAATACTCGTGTTGACTGTTGAGTCTAAGAAAATAGATTAGGAGAGTACATTTTCTCTAGTTTTGGAAATGTGAATTTTAGGAAAGTAAATTATGTATTTAAATATAAAATACACATACCTTCAACCCAGCAATTTCATTTCTGGGAGTAACTTCCATAGACATAAAAGCCTCACTTGTATTTTTATTCCAAGATTATTTTAATAACATAACACAAAAACCTGAAATCTACTCAAATGCCCATTAGGAAGGAGATAGTTTAATAAATTGTATTTTACAATTATGAAATATTATACACATGTTAAAAAGATCATTATTCATTTATGTATATACATATAATTGAGAAAAGCAAAATGCAAAAAAGATATATACAATATGTTGTCTCTTTCATAAACAATGACAGAACTCCGATCTATGTGTGTGTAAGTTGGTATGTGGTTTTACAAACATGAAGAAAGCAGTGAAAGACTTCCCACCAGCCTGTCAACATTGATCACCAGGGAGAATGAGTGGAAGAGGATAGACAAAATAAAGGTCTCGGTAAAAAAAAAAAAAAAAGCATGCAGTAGAAGTTTACTGATACAAAAGTTTGGAAATACACACACACACACACACACACACACACACACACACACACACATAGACAGTGGCAGTTAAATGCTGCAACTTGGCCTTTTCAACCTGAGATCGGGGTTGAGATCCCTGTAAAATGAGGACACCTGTCTTCATGGATAATCTCCCAGCTGCATCTCTAGACTATCCAGAACAGCTACTGCCTTAAAGAGATCTATGTTTAATGTATATCTTTATCTCTTGGTGGAAAAGGTCTTTGGGATCTCTTGGGAGTGGAGACATGGTTTAATATTTTAACATTCATATCTCCTTAAGTTTTGGGATTTCTTCTCTGCATTGTATTGAGAAATGTCTGGCATCTCAGTAGCCTTTAATGAAGTTCCACTCTTGAGTTCAGGCTTCAACAGTCAATCAAGGTATTCTAGGTATTCTAGGTTTTGGAGCTAGTACATTGTAAGTAGAATCTCTGATAAATGCTCTTACACTGATAGATTGCATCCAATTAAAAATTACATAAAATTAAATTTATCAAAAGGCAGTCTTCATTTGTAGTGTTCATTTAATTATCCTTTCCCATGCCAGAGTCTGTTTAAAACCTCTTTTAAAAATTTTTGTTTGTTATTTGCTTTTCTATTTCTTGTGGTGCCAGTACATGTAAATGCTTGATAAATAGTTACGTGAATAAAGACAGTGATGACAAGATCATTATAGACTACTGCAGGGGCAGTTCTTTATTGTGTGGGCATATACCATGCACTGCACGATGTTTACCATCTCTGGCCCCTGCCCACCCAATCCCTATAGCACTCTTCGGTCATTCCCACAAACAACACTCCACCCCAATTCCAGCACCCTTTTGGGGATGTGGTGGGGGGAGCAGTGTTGGTGCTATCCTTGTTGAGAACCACAGGGTTAGGGTAACCCAAGTCTTTCTAAGCGTGGTAGTGTCTATGCTAAACCTTGAAGGATGAGCAGGATTCTAAAACCACAGAAATTGGAACACAAACAGCATATAAAAGAGGGAGCAACATAGTGAAGACACTGTCTTGACAGATGAAATGGTTATGTCTGTGTTGGAAAATAAAGTTGGATAGTTAGAGTGAAGTTAGAAGGGTGTTGATAAGGAGTCTTGCAGAGGTGAGAGGAGAGGAAAATGTCAGCTCACTGTCTAATGCATCTTGCATGCTACTGCCAAATTAATTTCCTACAGCACTGCCCTGTTCAACAATCCACTTAATATTGCCCACTAGTTTTTACATCTTTGCTGTGTGCTGAAGGCATTTTATCTCATTGTATTCATCCCACTTTATCTCTTACTACTTCTTAAAATTAATTAGATATGTCTGGCTGGCTGGTTAAAATAATATTTCCTTCTTTTTTTGTCACCATGCTCACTGCATATTTTTTTTTAAATGTCTTTCCTCCTATATAAATTCTATCATCATTCTGTCTATTCAACTTTTTCCTACTCTTGGAAGCCTTCTCTCTAATGGAACTGGCCCATTCCATCCTGATCTCTCCTTCCTCTTTCTTATAGTATTTATTGTTTGTCCTACAGTATGTAGCATACAGTCGGGTATGAGTTTTCATGCCTCTCATTCTTCTTTCCCTGAATAATTTTTATTCTCCTAAAGAGGTGTATGACATTAAGATATATAGATGCATGCCGCGTGATGTATTTTAAACCTCCAAAGCAGCTTTTTATTTTCTTGGTCAGTTGATAAAAGGCATTGCCTTTTGAATGAAATATTTGATATAGTGTTAGATATTGAGCACCCTGAAAAATGTTTTTTAATATTTAAGTTATCATAATGATCATAGAAATTTAGATATTGTACTAAATTGTAGCCCAGTCCTAATTTTAGGGCAATATTGGCCTATTTGGCAATATTGGCCTCGTGTTATTTAGTTAAAGAATAACCACTGCCATCTTTTGATCCTTTGTAGTTTATAACTTTTTTCCTCTCCTTATTCTTTGCTCAAATGGCATCTTACCCAGGATCCCACTGTATTAATTCAATGCGTTCCTTCCCTGAGGTGAGAAGACAGGTGGGAAGCAACCGACGGGAGCCTCACCTTTGTTCTCCTCCTCCCTCCTCATCTCCAATTCAAAGAGCACTGCGTGAAAAATCACTGTAACTCATCTAATTTAAAAATGCTTATTAAAAAAAACATTGCTTTTTGTGACATCTCTTTTGGGAACTTAGTATAAAAATAGAAACACTTTAGTTTTACAGTGATTTTGAAGTACAAAGAAAAATGCTCTGGAACAAATGTCTTGTTTCAGCAATAAAAGAGTTAACATACTAAGCAGCAAAGACAGATACTGCGAGAGGATAGTGCTTTCTGTCTCTGTCATTTGTGGTTTAAGGAGAGGGGGTAGTGTTCTGCATCTGAAAGGACTTTAATGAATGCTGTCAGTGTTTGTGAGAGCTAATGGTCAGTATGGGAAAGGAGAGCAGGGAAAGTGGTCTAGCTGCTTCAGGATAGGTAGGTGAGAGTTTGCTCTGATTGAACGGAATGTTCCACCGCGTTTCACCTTTATTCATTATCCTTTGTTCTTTATAATCTGATACAGTAGTATAAAAGTGAATGCAGATATATATGTGAATGTGATTTATTTTCCTTTCAATCTGTTTATTGTGTACAGCAGGGCATATATACTTCTCTTGTCTAGGTTGGATGCACAAATCTCTGTGCAGTGCTTTTTGCCCGTTGCCTAGACGATCACTTGGTTTCTCTGAGGATGTCTGGTTCTCGTAAAGAGTTTGATGTGAAGCAGATTTTGAAAATCAGATGGAGGTGGTTTGGCCATCAAGCATCATCTCCTAATTCCGCAGTTGACAGCCAGCAGGGAGAATTTTGGAATCGAGGACAGACTGGAGCAAACGGTGGGAGAAAGTTTTTAGATCCATGTAGCCTGCAGTTGCCTTTGGCTTCAATTGGTTACCGAAGGTCCAGCCAACTGGATTTTCAGAGTTCACCTTCTTGGCCAATGGCATCCACCTCTGAAGTCCCTGCATTTGAGTTTACAGCAGAAGATTGTGGCGGTGCACACTGGCTGGATAGACCAGAAGTGGAGGATGGCACTAGTGAAGAAGAAAATGAATCTGATTCCAGTTCATGCAGGTTGATTATTTTCTTACTGTTAGAAATGGGGTGTGGGGATATATTCTCTATAATGTTTTAAAATAAGTTAATATTATTATTATCATTAATATTAATATTATATATATACCTCTACATACATATACATGTATAATATTTTGGTATGCATATGTGGTAGTTTGGGGATTTAAAAAATATTGTAATACTCATTTTAATTGTGTAAAATTATAAAGACAACAAATAGCATTCATTTTGAAATACCTTGTGTTCCATATATAGCTCTAGCTCTGTCTTGAAAAGAATATATAGTAGCAGTTTTATGCATCGTTGCCTTGCAGTTTGCTTCATTCTTTTACCTTCCTTAACCGTAGCAGAACTATCAAAGACATTTCTACAGTATAATTTCTATGACATTTTAGTTTGCAACAGATTATAGTATCATTTTAAAGTCTTAATGAAAATGAAAGATCTCACAAGGAGATAGCACTGTAGTTGTCAGTATTTTTTGTACACCATGTGGGTGTCAGTCGTATTTCTCTATGGCTATTTCTCTTTGTCTTGTGTGTGTTGCAGCTCTCCGGACTACTACAGAGAATACAGTAACATGTCTCTTTCTAAGATGACAGCTTCTAATTCCTGTACCTTCACCTCACTGAAAATTGTGCTGTTTAGGGAAATGAGGGACATTCCTTCAGGAGAGTTTGAGGGAGTGTGGAGGGGTTAGATGCGGTCAGCTGGTGAACAAGGGGCAAGAAGGAGGGGAAATGAGTTTGAGGGGAGAAAATAAAACACTGGAAATTTTATAATGATTTTATCCGTATTCATCCTGGGAACCTGACTTGATCTTTGAAGTGGATTTTCTTTTTCATGAGCAGCATACTACCGTAGTATATTGTGTGACAAGTTAGAGCGTGACAGTCATCTTTCTGATTCATCTACACTCAAGTGTTTCAAAATATTTAAAGGTGCAAGTAGCTTGTCATTAGGGTAGTTTGATCATGGGTTCTTTCTCTTTTTAATATATGAGATGGAGACAAAATGAGTTCATATATTCAAATATATCTTACTTGGGGATATTCACCACCTTTTCTTCTACCCTTCAGAACATGGAATTATGAACTGTGGTGGTGGAATAATAACACATAAAGACCAGTCATCTATAATCATTTGTGTAATGCAGAGAAGGGAATATCTTTACATAGGTAACTAGTGTATTTCATTTTAAAAAATTTAATTAGTTCATGACTTGGCATTATCTTGAGGGAATAGGAGAAACTAATTTAATATGGAGATAGATCAATTGAGTTAATGTGCTTCCATTGTTTGGGGGTTTTTTGCTTTTTTTCTTTCTTTCTTTTTTTTTTTTTTGAGACTTGTTGCCATAGGAGAATAATGTATATAGAAAAGGTTCAGGGTTTATCATTTTTGTGGGAAACGAAAGAGTAATCATCTTTCCATTTGAAAATCAATATAATGTACACAGAATATTTTAACAGAATTAGACAAAACAAACCATTCATTTACCAGCATAAATTATAAAAATCTGAACATGTATCTACAACTTGGAGAGATTTTACACATGTGATTATAAAATTTGTATATATGAATAGTCTTGGAAAGGTTATATTCAAACATTGGTTACTATAATTCCTTACAACAAACATAGTTTGCATACCTAATGATTACTGAAATTAAATTAATCTATTCTTTAGTAGTCATATTGAAATATCATCTTGTTGGGACATTCATTATAAAAGAAAAAGATTGCCCTTTTTTTACTGAGGTGGCTATGTGCATGCTTCAAGAATATAAAATTGGTATTTTTATTTACAGGAGACATAAATATAATAAAATGTTTTTAAAAATCTGAAATACAGTTTTAAAAATTTTGGTCAAGAGGATTGATAATGTAAATAATATAATGGGAGTTAACAGTTTACATCTACAGTAACCAAACTATTTCTAAGATACTATTTCAAAAATAGAATGTACTTAAATTGTCTCTGATTTTTAGATATAAGAGGGGAAATATGTCAAAGCAATTTAATTTGTCCAATGCTTTAAAATTTCTATCTTAACATCTTGCAAAAAACATTCTAGATTTTAGAAATGTCTTTTGTGTATATACTTTTACTTCTCCATTTTTTCTAGATTAAAATCTTATATATCTAATTCTTACATCTCCCTTTAGTCCTCTGGCTCTGAGTCTTTGATTTTTGTCGTAAGAGTGGATACACTTATTTGCCCCCAGCTTTTTGATTAAGTGAGCAGTCTCTCTAGGTAGTTGCCCTCTACTATAAACAAATCAGAAATTATCACTGTTAATGTCAAAAGATGCTACACAGATATTCATCAAATCTTTGTACATAACTTGGGAATGATTCTTTTTCTTTTTTTTTATTGTTCATGTACAGTTGTCTCCATTTTTGCAAATATTAACAAATATGACAAATACTCGTTTTATGAGTACACTATAGATTGATATCTCAAAATGTTAAAGACAGCAGGGGAATACATATGACATATAGAGAATTTCTAATTTAGACAGTAATAATTCTTATTATTTAGATATCAAAACTTAGAATGACATTTTCAGTTGTTGGAAAAATGGAAGACCTCTGAGACTGAAGTTTTCACTAATTAGACAAAAGGGAGCCTGCTGGGTGGTTTCACACACGCAGAACCCTAACACCTACAGTGGGTCAGGACAGTTCAAAGCTGGACTTGGGGGGTCTCATGGGTTGTTGATACGTTTGATCAGCTGTGTGCCAGCCAGAAGTGTCTGCCCGAGCCTCAGCCTGCTGGGAGTTCCTGCTGCCACAGATCTAAGCGATGTAAGAGTGTCTCCGCTCTCCACTTTGATCCCGGGTCTGTGGTTCAGCCACCTTTTCTCCGTGGGTGTCATCTAAGTCATCACTTTGGTATTAAAATACAAACTTCAAGTTTTTTACACCATGAGGAATTTTAGACCCTAAGTAACAAAGCTGTCACTCTTTCTGTGAACTTGGGGTTCCTAAGACCTTAATTCACGATGGATTCTTAGCAGGGTCAGCAAGGACTACATGTGGCCCACCACGTGACCTTGACACAAGCACAGCTTACACTGCACTCGATGTGCCAGCTTTGAAATTATGTAATTTTTGACATTTTTAATTGGGGTAAATTCATTTCAAATTTTGTTTATAAAGTTAGACTTTAGTCCCAGACTGTTTTTTAATAAATATGCATAAAGTATTACTATACTTTACAAATATTCAAAAATAATAATATAATACAGTGATACAGTTAATGCTGACTGGGTGCTTACTCTCTGTGAGGCACTGTTCTAAGCACTGTATGTATATTAACTCACTTGGTCTTCACAACCAACCTCTGAGTTAGATTACTGCTATTATACTGGGTTGGGCAAAACTAGGTCTATAATCATTAGTATGGAAAATGATACAGTAATTAAATAATGACACAAAGATGTACTCTGTGTTTCAGGGACTCACAACTGTAAACCTACTTTTGCCCACCCTGCATTCTAATCTTACAGACGAGGCCAATAAGGCACAGAAAGGTTAACTCGCTCAAAGTTAATAAGTAAAATGAAACTACATTTAAACAAATAAATTATATGTATCTATTTATTATCCTCACTTGAGATGTGCTTATTGATTTTAGAGAGAGAAGAAGGGAGAGAGAGAGAAGCAGAAACATCGATGTGAGAGAGAACATCGGTCAGTTGCCTCTCGTAGGTGCCCCAACAGGGGATCAAACAAGCAACCTAGCATGTGCCCTGAGGAGGGACCAAATCCTCAACCTTTTTGCCTGCGGGATGACACTTCAACTGAGTTATAAATTTTATATTTTTAGAACAGTTTTATATTTACAGGAAAACTGTAAAGATAGTATAGGGTGACTTCCTATGTACCCAAACGCAGGTTCCCGTGTTATTCTTATCTTATTAGTATGGTGCATCTGTTACTATTAATGAATTAATATTGATACCTTGTTGCTAACTAAAGTCCACACTTTATTCAGATTTCCTTAATTCCTACCTAATGTCTTTGTTCTGTTGCAAGATCCTATCTTGGATGCCACGTGACATTTAGTCATCGTGTCTTCTTAGTCTCCTCTGGGCTGTGACAGTTTCTCAGATTTCCCTCATGTTTTGATTGCTTTGGCACTTTTGGGAATACTGGTCAGATGTTTTGTAGAATGTCTTATTCAGTTGGGATTTGTCTGATGTGTTTCTCATAGTTGGACTGAGGGGGTGAGTTTTGGGGAGGAAGACAACAGAAGTAAAGTGGCATTTTCATCGCATCATGTCAAGGATACATTCTACCAACCAGACTTACCACTGTTGATACTGACCTTGATCACTTGGAAATTGCTGCATTTTGTACCCAAACAATTAATATGTAGATTTCATGCTTACATACCAGTAGGCAGTTCTCTGTGACTATTCATTGAATCACCTTGTTCAACCTGGATTAACATAATAGTTAATGACTGGTTCTGACCAGTGTCAGCTTCTCTCTCCAGTTAATTTTCTTAGCCTGGTTCTCGAAAATGGCAAGCCTGGCTGGCTTACAGGCGTATTATTTTGACACGGCCTCGAATCTTTATCTACTGTCAGCAGACCTGTCTTATTGGTTGCTTGCTAGTCTGTGTTTCAACTACAGAGATCCTTGAAATATTGATCGGATGATTTGCTATTCTTTGACTCAGCCTGAAGGCATTTAGGTCCTCCTCTGCAGGCATGGGGTTATCTTCATAGTACCAGCTTTTGTCCAGAGCTCTCTCCTTTTTCTCGACCCTCTTTGTGTTGTCTACATCATGTTTAAACCAGTCTGGTTTGATTTGAAATTAAAATTTTCTGCATTTCCGCATGAAACATTTTGTTTCCAAAGATGGCAAAGATTGAACTACAATGCACTTGTGTCTGGGATGAATGAATGGCATCATCTTCCTTTAAACATACATACCCAGTCATAGTATGGGTTCCCTGGACACAACACACAGTCTATGGAACC